TCTCATACCAGCACTTTATGAGTGATATTGATTAGGATTCATTTATAACACTTCCTGATATATTCAACAATATAAATCTTCTACCACCTTCTGACTATAAAGATGATGATAGTATCATCAATAATATAAACCTTTATCAAATATCTTGCAACTATAATAATAGTATTGTTAATACAAACCTTCTTTCACCATTTACTGAATATAACGATAACCAATTTTCTAATTATGGTAATAACTCTTCATTATTTGATGACGATAACCCTTCACTATTATTTGAAGATAGCAATAATTCTTCATTATTTGAAGATGACGATAATTTCAACACAAGCAGTTCATCACTTACTGAAAATGACAATAATCCCAGTATTAGCTATCAATATAACCTTAACGTAGGAAATTATTTTGACGATTGGTCATCTGTTGATAGGTTTATACATAATTATTGCTTGGAACAGGGTTTTGGATACCAGATTTTCTGTAATGATAAAGATCCAAATGATCCAAGTATTACTCATCGCAAGTCTTTTCGATATTTATCAAGTGGTACCTACGAACCTAGAAAGGTAATTGATCAAAATTCACATCATATACGGAGCACCACAAAGGCAAAATGTAAATGGTATTGCAACTTTATATTTTCAAAAACCGCATATAAAGTAAAATGTATAATAATAAAGAGTACACATAATCATGAATTAAATCCTACCCAAATATGTGATATTATTGCTAGATACCGACATTTTAATGAAAAGATGATGCAAGACATTAAATTTTTTTCAGACTATAAAGTAGCACCTATTACTCAATTGGAGATGTTTAAAATAAAATATCCTCAAAATGTTTACCATAAGCAAGACGTATGTAATACAATTTATAAATTACGTAAGAATAATAATGAAAGGCTTGATTCTGTTTCATTTCTTGATACTCTTTTTGAAAAAATATCACAAAATTTGTGCTGAAAGGTATTTGTTCGACATTCTGGTACTGAACGTTGCTTATAGGGTGTTTTTTGGATATTACCCTCTCAACAAGAGTTATACGGCATTTTTCAGACATAGTGCTTAACGGTAAGACCAATAAATTCAACATGTATTTTAGTGTTTTCATGATAAAGAACAATTATAGAAAATTTCAGAATGTGGCAAATGTATTGATAAAAGATAAACTTTTTTCAACATATGTTGGATTTTATAGTATTTATCAAAAGCAACAGATAATATAGTTCTACAGTCTTTTTGGACTGATGCTGAACCTGGTTTAATTAATGCAGTATCTCAAGTTTTTCCCAATACACAGCATTTTTATTGTTTATTTTACATCTGGCAAAACATAGTCAAGCATCTTAAAGCATCTCTGGGTTCTAAGTTTAACAATTTTAGTCAGGCTTTTTATTCATGTCGCAATTCGTTAAGCATTAAAATTTTTGAACAATGATGAGAATCTATGATAAAGACTTTTTCAGAATATAAGCGTTACATGTCTAAAAAATTGTATGCAAATAGGTTTAGCTAGGCTAAGGCTTATACACTATTCCAATTTAATACTAGTATCCAGAGCACTCAGAGCATTGAATCGTTTAATAATATTATTAAAAAGTCCCTTAATAATGCTAGTTTGCTTTGTGAAGTTGAAGAAGCAATTGATAAAAGACATGAACAAAAAATTAGATACTGCAAATTAACAGACATTAAAGCACAGTATAAATCAATTAGACTTTCATATATCTCTTCTCAATTTTTTTCAACTATTGATCACATGCTTGTCAATTTTTTGACACCACTTATATTATCTCTACAACGATTTCAAATTTCACAATCTTTCACTTATGAAGGACAAAGAGAGCACATAATATTTGAAGTATGTTTTTTATTTGTAGATTTATGATATAGTATTCCTTTATAGCAATAGAGTCGTCTATAGATACTGCAATTGAAGTAAACTTAAATCTTCAAAGCCTAAGGAATTTTCAAGGTTCTAGTAATCACGCAAGTATTCAGCAAGTTATTTCTAAAAGAAATAAATTTGGAGTTGCATTTTTAACAGCTAAAACTGCAATTAATATTGCTTTGAAAACTAAAAGTGATGATGAATTAGTTCAACTACTAAAGAACTTTATTTCAACTAAGCGAAGCATTGATAATATTAATTCAGAAAAAATTGATAATAACAAAATCTAGGATAAAGATGGTATTACTTCTTTATAACGGCATTTGATTGATCAAACAAATGACCCGCACGTCACAAAAATTCGAGGTGTACTGAGTAAAAAAAAAATTGAAAAGTGTCATAGAAATGTCAAAAAAGCAAAATATAGGGCAAGAAATTACAAGCCAAATCAATAATATGCAAAATTGTGCTAGAGAAGCAAGCTTGAAACCACAATGCAAGTGCTTGTTATGTGGAACACCTGGTCATTATCAGAAAAAATGTCCAAGTATTGAAGAAAATTAATTGTAATAGGTAGCAGGTATAAGACATGTATTGTACTTGAATTTGATTAGAATAGTTATGAATATGATGTGATCATATAAGTATTCTTATATCTTATAGCGTTAGTTAAAATCGATTAGCATTGCTATTAGTATCAGCAATAGTTATAGTTTGTGTATAGTTAGAATTGATTAGAGCAATAGATATTGTAAAATTGCTAAAGTTTTTAAATTGATATTGTAGCACTCATTTGGTATTGTTACAGTACCATGGCCTTCTTAACAGCAGTACTATAACAATGATACAGCTACAAAGATCCTTTACAGGTTTATAGTAGTGTCCAACAGGTAAGTATAATTTCTACTACAACTAGAAACTATACACTTCTGTCTGTGGCAGTTCGGGCAGGTAATAGTTTATAGATAAAATATATGTTTTATTAGAGAGAATAGGATAGGCTATCTTTAGGTTTCTATTCCTAAAGAATCCTATAATATTACAAGAGGGAATTTTAGAGAAGAGAGGAGTCTGGTTCTAAGAGATGGACAGTGCAGGTCTAACGTTAACTTGGGGAAATTTATATTGTTGAATATATCAGGAAGTGTTATAAATGAATCCTAATCAATATCACTCATAAAGTGCTGGTATGAGA